AAATCTCTCATGTTTTAATACTATATACGTCATAATATACTGCCGTTTCTGTAGTTTATATGTAATGTTATGACCACATGCCCACATGTAAAGGACTATTACTTTTTTTTACATTTTAAAGCATATACTTAGAAACTTACCCATGATCATATTTTAAAAATCAATTGCAGGTTTATATATATATATATATATATATATATATATATATATATATATATATATATATATATATATATATATATATATATATAACTTTCTCACAACGCTGCTATTCATGTTTTTGTTTGTATTTCTGTAATGATACAAATTATAAAACAGTATTACCATATACATTGTATTTTGTGACATATATATTTTTATTTTGTCCATACAATAAATATTGTCATATTGCAAAGTCCTACAATGTCCCCCGTAATCCAATACAATGTCAATACAATATAAATCTCATCATTGACTCTTACTTAAATACTTAAATCTTTAGGTCTCTAAATATTCATGTTTAGAATTGGCTAAACAACCGATGAAAAACACCTCTAACCTAAATCTCTTTTCATCTTAACTTTCATAGGTGATTTAGTGCTGCAAGATACTTTTCTGACCCCTAGTGGTCTGTTTCTCATCGGCATGGTCGTATTGTACCTCATCACGGCAGGTTTGCACCCTAAGGAGTTTTCACTGATCATCTATGGATTGCTTTACTTCATCTGCATTCCCAGTGGCTATCTGCTATTAGCCATTTACTCTATTGTCAACATGAACAATGTCTCGTGGGGGACTCGTGAGTCCGGCGGCCAGGCGAAGACTTCTGCAGTAAACAGTCTCAAGAAGAAGTTTTTGAACGCCACATGCTGCAAATGCCCATGCTTGGAATATGAAGATGAAACGAGGAGGGAGGTAACTCAAGTTGAAGACAAACCTGAAGGGGAAAATATCTCGGAAATACTAAGGTATAAACATGTCCACTGTTATTATTATTATTACAGTATTTTTATGTATTTTTTTAAAAAGTAAAAGATTAAAATAATTACCCTGAGATTACTGCTACTAATGATAATGTATTCTTACAATGTAGTGAAAACACCCAAATCATTCCTCAAAGTAAGTATGACTTTCACATGTATTATTGTTCATAATGTGATATTTTAGGCAATATAATTAATAGAAATCAAATCATCATTAAATCTGTCATATGTATAGATCGAAAACCTTGGATTCACAGTTTGCAGCCAAAATTTGGTTTTTCCTTGAGGAGTGAATCCGCATGTGAACTTTCTGAGGTAAGACAAATTTATTTATAATTTTTAGTAAGCTTGTTTTTTTTAATATTAAAAACACAAAATTAATGGATAGAATGAATGAAAATTACCAGCTTCAATGTTTATCTCTGTCTATGTCATGCTTTTATTCCCCCGTAAAATTCTTATTTGCTATAACTAGTTTAATTGCTTTAAATAAAAGTACCTGCAAAATGAATTTTCTTGACTCATTTAAAAAATGCTTTAGCTTAAACCCTGGTCCTTTGCACTTTGAGAGTCAAAGAACATAATAACAATAAAAACAATAAAATAAACAATAAAAAATGATTACCAATGAGGTCTTATTAAGCGGAAGGACCAGTCTGTGCAAGAAACTAACATTATTATATTTAGTGAATTAATTGCTGATGTAAATTTATTCAACCCAGTATCCTCTGGTTTGATATTATACATTTTTTGTATCACAGGAAGAATTAATTTTTTGGAAGGAAATGCAGAAAAAATATCTACATCCTCTTGAGGAGAAACCAGAACAACTAGCAATAATCGCTAATGATCTAAGAGAACTTCGTAATAAGGTAAGCCTCGTTATTCCAAAAATAGTGTAGTCTACTCTGCTTGCTCTGAAACGGTAAAGATTTACCCTCATGTTGTTTTTGTCTTTTTAAATACAGGTTACATTTGTCTATTTCTTCTGCAATGCACTTTGGCTAGTGGCAACGTTCTTCCTTCAAGCTATTGGCGGTGCAGTCACTATAAAGATCCCAAAAATCTACCCCAATGGGACTCGATCTCCAACAGAAACGTTGTCCCTTGATCCAATTGCACTGATGTTTCTTCTTGGCTTTGCAGCACTGCTGATAATACAGTTTATTGCAATGCTTTACCACAGGTAACTTGACTTATATATGCGTAAGATAACATAAAGAGTTATATTTCTATTTTTATATGCAAGTATTGATGCAATATGTCGTTTTGTTTCAGAATTTACACTTTTATCCATTTTGTGGCGTATGCTGATACTGAAATTAAAGCCCATAGAAAGCAGTCACAACAGGTAAGCCAAGCACAATGAATTTAGCCATTTTTAATGGTCAGCTTTTCATCATTGTTGGTTCTTTTTAAATTGACTGTGTTCACATTTTTTTTTTGATAGGTTGTAAAGTTCATGGACCATCATGAGACTTTTGAAGGTGACACACCAATTTCAACAAAACGCAAATCTTTTATATCGGATGGATTTTTTACCTGATACTAATGTTGCGCAATTATAATTGTGTGAATATTTATTTAATTTATAAACCTAAATGTTTTGCATGTTGTAATGTAACATATGTTGGTCAAGACATTGTATATGTATTTATTAATTACATAATATACCTGTTTATTGTCAAGTTTAATGTTATTATAATTAGTATTTAATTAGTAATAATTAATTTAATATAGTTATTATTGAATGTCATGTAAGTGGTGTATGAAGTTACAAAATAGTCAATACATTTTTTGCATTTTTTCCACATTATTATTTAATATATTTCCATGTTTCTTTATTTAAAGTTAATTAACAATTAATTGACAGTTATATGAAAATATATACAATGCTTCATTTTAGATCCGTTCATAAGTTGTGTAGCATATATTTAAATATATTATTATAATCTTTTTTGGTTGTAAAATTTCTTAATGTGATTCATGTTGTAACCCAAAAAATTAATCATAAAAGTAAAAACAACATCTGTTCCATCACCGATACAACACACATACTGTACATTTTCCCTCGGCTTAGTTTCTTTATTCATCAGGGGTCGCCACAGTGGAATGAACAGCCAACTTATCCAGCATATGTTTTACACAGCGGATGCCCTTCCAGCTGCAACCCAGTACTGAAAACACCCATAGACACTCAATCATACATATACTACGGCAAATCAGTTTATTCAATTCACCTATATCACATATCTTTCACTGTAAAAAATGCAGGGTTCCACACAATTCATTTTTGTTGTCCCAACACAAATTGATTAAGTTAACTTAACACTTTTACCAAATTTATGTGGATTGAACATAAAAAAATTTTGTTGTCCCAATGAAATCTAAAGAATTTTGTTGTTTCAGCTTATTTTAATTTGAAGTAGTTTGAACGAGCAAAAAGACGTTTTTTGAGTGTTGGAATGTAGGGGAAACCTGAGCACACAGAGGAAACCCACGCCAACATGGAGGGAACATGCAAACTCCACATAGAAATGCCAACTGACCCAGCCAGGGCTCGAGCCAGTGACCTTTTTGCTCTGAGGCGACAGTGCAAACCACTCAGTCACAGTGTCACCCTATGAATTATATATTTAATTTTTTGGAGTTATTAATTAAACAAAGACACTTGACCACTGTTGATTCTCACGATATATAGGCAAAACCAGACAACAATAGAAATTAAGTTCAACTTTATTTAAATGAGTTTAATGCGAAAAAAAAATAACAAGGAAAAGGAAGACCCAGGGCATTTTATAATATGTGTTAAATACTACTTGTGAAACTCAGTATACATGATAGTACACTAAAATCAGTCACACAAATACAGCTTGATAAACATTCATAAAATCTTTCATTTATAAGTAAGACCAGTAGTTAATTTACAGTCAAATATGAGCACATTCAGTCTGATCTGCTAACCATATACACTTAACACCCCACATAGCAAATGTTTTCTGGTCCAGCACCGGGCCACACAATAACTTTTTCTTCAGCCCAAGTACCGCAAATAATGATGGTCCCGAAGTGGCCCATAACTGGTTAAAGACAAGGACCACACATGGGCCATAACCAGCCTGAATCTCAATCAGTTTATTACCCTGAACTGGGCCAAAACAGGTTTATTATTGGTACTGATAATCAGCTATAAGTTAACCATATCAACACCACCATTTAACCAGAAACCCCAAAAACTGAGCCATAACCCAGCCTAACGTTACCTAAACAATGTGAACAATTGCTACACTGATCTGGGCCACACACCTCCCATCCAAAACTGGCCCAAATGTAGTTTGCCGTCATGCATGCAGTGCCATCATTGCCATGCATGGCCCACATTCAGCTGACATTGTGCATGCCATTGCCAGCAACATTCTAACAGCAGTGCCATAATGAGGCCACATTTGCTCCAAGTCCATTTGCTTTGTGGGACGATAGTGTTTGTTAAAGTCATTGGTCCCACTTTATATTAAGTGTCCTTAACTACTATGTACTTGTATCAAAAAATAAATACAATCTACTTACTGCGTTCAAAATGTATTTGAGTACACTTGTGGTGCTCTTAAGTTGGGATAGAGGGTTGGGTTATGAACAGGTTTGGTGGTATGGGTAGGTTTAAGGGTTGGTTAAGGTGTAAGGGATGGTCAGCAGTGTATTTACAAATGTAATTACAGAAGATAATTACAGGTGTAGTTACATACAGGTATTATTCATGCATAAGTACACAGTAAATACATGTATTTACACAATAAGTACATTGTAACAAACTATTAATTCCTGTGTAAGTACGTATTAGTTAAGGCCACTTAATATAAAGTGGGACCAAGTCATTAATGAAAGTTATTTGGTATCTTTTATATTATACAGTATTTACATCATGTGTATTAGCACCATGTCACGAAAACTGGCGAAACAGATTTAGTACAAAAACAGAAGGTTAAAAGTACAGCTATGTCTATGAATTATTCAGTACTGCGGCTGACTTCTCAGTGGTTCTCAGGGGAAAGTTCTGTCCATGCCCATATATTGGTGGAAATCAGGATAGACCAGAAACCCAGAGAAGGTTGTGTAACGTCCTTGATTGCTGTAAACGGCGAATCCGTCATCCTGCTGACTGTACAGCCAAACGCTGTCTCCTCTTTTCAATGACAACATCAGACTCTGACTCTGCATCTCTCTTCGTCTCGACAAATCCTCATCAAACACCATGGCCCGAACCTCGCCTCTGCCTGTCATGAGCTTCACCGAAACCGCCCGACGAGGGTGTTTCCCAACAGTGAACGCAAAGTAATAAGCACCAGGGAAATAGCAGGTGAAATGTCCAGATGTTTTGTTGAAATGCCCGCCTATGTTAACATACTCAACATCAAACGTAAGAGCTTCTCTTTCACGACGGCCTTTGCTTTCTCCCAGTACTGATGTGGTTCTTGCAACTGAAAATGCAGAACGCGGTTCCTCGCCAATCCTTCTTCGTCTTTTCCAATCATACTGGGTATCAGTAAAAGGAGGACAGCCTGGAAGATGAAGGTCTGGAGGAGACAGGTGGTTATTGAGATATCCGACAGATGATGTGGAGTCTGGGTAGACAAGATAACCGCTAAAGGTGATGTATGGTCCGATGTTACTGTAAATAGCATAATCTTGATTTTCCTGCAGAAGAAGATAAACTGTATCCATCGGCTTCAGGCTGATCATTATGTTCTGGCTTTGCATCTTCCGTCCGTGGTTTCGGTATCCATCATACGCCATGGCCTGCACCTCCAGCCCATTCTTCACCAGCATGACTGACAGTATCTTCTTTGGGAACTTTCCTACTGTAAAGGCGAAGTAATAGGCGCCAGGCAGGCGGCATCGGAAGGTGCCTGTGTCAGGGTTGAAGTCTTCGCCAATGTTAAGCAAGAGGCGGTCAAAGGTCACAGCTCGCTGACTGGCACCCAGAACGCTGCTGCTGCGGGTGGCAGAGAAAGCGGAGCGCAGGTTTGGCGTCATCGGGGGAATGTTGAGCGACGTCACACAACTCAGATAAGCCACCAAGCACAGCAGATGGGAAATATGTCTGCTTGGTCTGCATGATGTCAAACCAGCTGCTGTAAAAAACAAAATACATTATTGTCATCAAACATTGTCACTTTTTGGTATTGCTAAAATTTCAAGCTAAAATAATAATTATTCCCAAATGTGTAATTTTGTCATTAGAATTTGTTAGTGTGTGTTTCCTCCGGGTGCTCCGGTTTCCCCCACAGTTCAAAGACATGCGCTATAGGTGAATTGGGTAAGCTAAATTATCCGTAGTGGATGTATGTGAATGAGAGTGTATGGGTGTTTCCCAGTGATGGGTTGCACTGTGCATTCCACTGTGGCAACCCCAGATTAATAAAGGAACTAAGCAAAAAGAAAACATACGAATGAATGAATAATGTTTCAACTAAATTTGTGTGTAATGTTGAAAGTCAATGTAAGAATGTGTTAGTCAGAGTTAAAATGACCTGCAAAGTTTATTTGATTGAACTTAAAAAATTTAAGGCAGACTTTTATACATTTGGGTGTCTCTGTCAAATTAAATTTACAAAAGTAATTTTATATGCACATATTAAATACAATGATACTTTGTTTAGAATAAGATGCTGTTATTTTGAACTTTGTTTTCTACAAATCATTCTTAAAAGGGAAATATTTCCACAGAAATATCAAGCAAAAAAATATTTTTAAAAAGTACTAATAAATGAGCACAGATTGATTACATCAGAGCTGTAACAGGCCCGTAGCCAGCCTGGTGAAAAAGTTGGTTCTTTTTTCTCAAAAAGTGGACTTTTTTTTTTGCAGTTATGAGGTTTAGATATTCCATTTAGTGACATTTTAAGCATTATGTTTTAGCTGGATTAGCTTGTTGGATGGTCAATGTTTGATGTACCAAAATATTATCTAAAGATTTATAATAAAGAAATATGAAAAACAACAGCAACTTATATTTAAAATACAAAGTTATTACATCATATAGCATTAGAAAAAACGTAGTCTTTTGTCATTTGTTAGGCAAATAACAAACTGTCCAGCATTCAGCTTTCCTGAGTCCAAATTTTGCCATTTGAACAAAAAACAATAGAAACATAATAATAATAATAATGTAGACTTTCACAATTTTTTCTAGCTACTCTTGAAAAATGGGAACATTTATGGATTTTAAAAACAGCCTAATTAAATTAACTTTAATAGGGGTAGCTTTTGCTGTTTTAGATGTTTTCATTGGTCAATTTTTTTTTTTTTAAGATTTAGAATAAAAGTTAGGCTGCTTGTAAAATGTATTTTTTTTTCTATTTAACAACAGTAGGTCAATAGCGAAAGTTGACTTCACTTACATCATATTCTGTGTGGTCTTAAACCTTATGGGTTATTTGCGCAATTTATGATGTCTTAGCAGCCAAAATAGGACAAATTAGAAAATAGTTGCAAAAATTCAGGACAAATGGCAAATTCTGGACATTTGTCAGTGGGTGGTAGGTCTTACAAACCCCGAACCCCCCTGGCTATGGGCCTGTGTAAAAAACAGAACAGATCTTTCATGTTCTCAGTCTGTTTTGCCTGTTGAGAATCACAATGAGACCCACAATGTAAGGAATACAAGAGTTTAAACAAACATTTTCATCTAATCCTAGGTATTTCTCGCTTTCAATCACTCAAACCCCAACTTCAAAGTCCTGCACTTCTGGCATATGGATATGTGTAATGAAGTGGTTAAAATGCCATATAACCGTGCTAGGAAGTCAGGTTTAGTGCTGTCAGAATGCATTCTGCCGTTCATATCAAGTGCTCAGTGGAAGCAGAAGTCCCTCTAATTCAGCTGCCATTGTCTGTTCATGGTGTGCACCGGGTAAAGGCAATAGATTAGACAATGGTTCATCTGCTCCTGTGTGCTGGAACAAAGGCATTTTTGGGAATGAGGATTGAAACATGTCAGGGGTGCAGAACTATGGGAGACTTCATGGTCAAGTGAAGAACCGGTCAGTTAACAGATATGGACCATAATAAGGTACATTAAGGGTCAGTTAGTGAATACAGGGGTCACTGGAGATATTTCCTCTTATTTATGACTTCCTGTAAAAATGACTTACATTGACATGAAGGATTTAAACAAGAAATACTGTAACTACAGTATTATCATTTTGTGATGAGAATATAGATTTGCATGTGAAACAAAAGAAATTATAACTTCACATTTTTTCAATAGTTTCCTTGTGCCTTTATATAGTTTTATTATTCAATTTCATTACAAATCATTATCTACAGTATATTACATCTTTCTTTTGGGACTTTTAAATTGTATTTGTAGAAATATCAACTAAAAATGATTCTTACTTCTGAATAAACAGTGGTGTGTGTGAATAAATGTAAATTAATACAGTTTATAAAGTTAAAGCAATATTATTGCTTGGGTTTATTTAATAAATGTTTGTGCTCCCTTTGCACAAATAAATAACTATTAATATTTAAAAAGTAATACAATAAATGACATAAATACAATATTAAAAAAAAGATTTCAAATCCAGGCAATATTCAGACTGGACCAATAAACATAATATGAAAGTCTTTTAAAAGTTTGTCCCAATTTAAAAAAATGACAATTCATATAATATTTTAAAAAGAGAAACACTGAAAATGAAAATAAACTATTAGCGGAACTAATTAACTACTTAATGCTAATTAGTTAAAACTGCATGATTTATTTTTACAGTATAACAGTTTTAATAGACAGTAAAACAAAAATATAAATAGTGATTTAGCTACACTTAGCTATCAATAGAAACGTTAATATTAAACAGGTGTCATTAAACTACGACTCATTAACTATTAAGTCAAACAAAAAGTAAATTGTCCAAAAATATTTGAGGATGAACCAAAATCAACAACAGTAAGTAATATTATCTTTAGGAATATGTAAGTTTTCATACCTGGTCTTAGTATTGGCAGAAACTTCATATCTCTGATGACCTGCTTCTTTGTGTCCTGTAGGCCTTTGAATGACTCGGTTGGTACACAGCTGTGAAGAGGTCTAAAACTACAGTGCAGTGCCCCTCAGTTCAAATAAAAGAGGCATTAGAGAGAGAAAGAGAGAGAGCGAGAGACTGAGAGGAAGAGGAAAAATAGGAGGCGCTTCATAAACTCATGAATACACCTTTTTTGTGTAAAACTGTTTAAAATAAAGGGCTAGCTTTTCATTTACTATTAAACTATTGTCACAATGTATAATAAATACATGCTACTGAATGACCAACATCAAACTGTGGTGTGTGTGATATAAATGCACCAAAATATATTAGCTTTGTTCACTGGGAGATGGAGAACAAATTTTCCTTTTCAAAAGAGCGTGTAATCATTTATGCCGAGTACTATATATACACAATGCAAAGTTGAAGTCAAAGGAAGGTAGTTGAATTATTAGCCTCCCTTTATTTTTTTCTTCCATTTTTTTTAAAGGAACAAAGATTTTTTTCCACACATTTCTAAACATAATAGTTTTATTGACTCTTTTCTAATAACTGATTTCTTTTAGCTTTGCCATGATGACAGTAAATAATATTTTACTAGATATTTTCAAGACGCTGGTATTAGTTTATAGTGACATTTAGAGGCTTTAGTTAACTAGGCTTACTGTAACTTATTTAAGTGTGTCTGTTTGCACTGGTTTGCACCTACAGTACATTGTGAGAATACATCTCCATATTTTTGTGTGTATATGGGTGTCCATGCTCCCTACGCTATGAGGGCATCTAAATGTCCTCACAATTAAAATAGCAAAATAAACACTCTAAACAAAGTTTAAATAAAAATTTAAACAGATATAGGTCACCACTGGCTTGCTTGGTTTTGCGACTTGTGGAGCTGCGCATCAAAGGATTTGCTCTACAGTGTTTGGACTTTCAGCAGTGAAAATTAACCACACTGAACTAAACTAACTGAAATTCAACTCTGAAACAATCTACATTGTAAAAGTGCTATAGAAATAGAGATGAATTGAATTGAACTGAACTGAATATGCAGATGTTCAATAATACAATAGAGCCTGATGACCATCCAAATTGATATCGTGGGTACTTAAAAAAATACTTGAAAAATAATCTATTATTTAAACTTTTAGAGAGCATTTTAAGATTACCATTGTGCAGTAAGTGCTCATCACAGCAGCAAATGTTTGGAGATTTAATTGGTTAGTAGTTCATATATGAACATTTCTGCATGCTAATTTGGCCTAGGGCATAGTAAAAATATTGATTGAAAATTAACTAATTAACGCAAAGTAATTAATTAATTGATTAAACAAACTCTTTATAGGGTTATTGTATGTTAATACTGTGAATAAAGGCTTCAATAGGCTTAAAAATTAATTTGTTAAACTAAACTCAAAGTGAAAACAAAAGCTTTTATCTTAGGTGATCCTAATTTCTTAATGTCTAATAATATATTAGAAATTGTAGTTGTAAACTAATTACCAGTCATAAATGTTATACGAAATGGAGTTACTAACTAATATAATTAAGTTTTATAAACATAGAAACTGAAATAAATGTAATTATATCTCACTGTTGATTTTAATCCATTCAAATCAAACATTAACTCATGTTGCTGCTAATTTTACTCATAATATTCCTAATATTACCAACATTTACTCATGCTGTGACATTATTCTAAAGTTTCACCTTTTGCACTTTATCATCCTTTTGCAATTTAATTTGAGTATTTAATACTGTGCTCCATTGTTTTTTAGGGTTGTAAAAGCATCAGCAGTTAATCACAACAAAACAATTTTTTAGCGGCATAAGCAAAAGTGCAGAAATTTTTCTGAGTTTTAGGTTTTGGGATAGGTTTAGGTTCAGGGTACAGACTGGTGGTTAACTCAATAACTCCAACGGAATGTCCTCATTAAAAGCTCTCTCCCTCTCCCTCTCCCTCTCCCTCTCGTGTGTTTTGAAAATTTAACATCTTAACTCCTGATAACTCCTTTTTTTTTCAACACATCCCATAATTTCTAAAATAACAGCCTCTACCAAATGGTAGATATCTCGATTTAAGGTAAAAGTAGCAGAATTAATACATA